ACTTACCTGCCACTCCGTTGAGTGATACGAGGTGGTTGACGCTTCTAGCTTACCCTGCCACTCCCGTTGAGTGATACGAGGTGGTTGACACTTCTAGCTTACCCTGCCACTCCCGTTGAATGATACGAGGTGGTTGACGCTTCTACTTACCCTGCCACTCCCGTTGAATGATAACGAGGTGGTTGACGCTTCTAGCTTACCTGCCACTCCCGTTGAATGATACGTGGTGGTTGACGCTTCTAGCTTACCCTGCCACTCCCGTTGAGTGATACGAGGTGGTTGACGCTTCTAGCTTACCCTGCCACTCCCGTTGAGTGATACGAGGTGGTTGACGCTTCTAGCTTACCCTGCCACTCCCGTTGAGTGATACGAGGTGTTGACGCTTCTAGCTTACCCTGCCACTCCCTGTTGAGTGATACGAGGTGTGTTGACGCTTCTAGCTTACCCTGCCACTCCCGTTGAATGATGCGAGGTGGTTGACTCTTCTAGCTTACCCTGCCACTCCCGTTGAGTGATACGTGGTGGTTGATGCTTCTAGCTTACCCTGCCACTCCCGTTGAGTGATACGTGGTGGTTGAAGCTTCTAGCTTACCCTGCCACTCCCGTTGAGTGATACGTGGTGGTTGACGCTTCTAGCTTACCCTGCCACTCCCGTTGAGTGATACAGTGGTTGACGCTTCTAGCTTACCCTGCTACTCCTTGAGTGATACGTGGTGGTTGAAGCTGCTAGCTTACCCTGCCACTCCCTTGAGTGATACGTATGGTTGAAGCTCCTAGCTTACCATGGCCACTCCGTTGAGTGATACGAGGTGGTTGACGCTTCTAGCTTACCCTGCCACTCTCCGTTGAGTGATACGAGGTGGTTGACGCTTCTAGCTTACCCTGCCACTCCCGTTTGAGTGATACGTGTGGTTGAAGCTTCTAGCTTACCCTGCCACTCCCGTTGAGTGATACGTGGTGGTTGACGATTCTAGCTTTCCTGCCACTCCCGTTGAGTGATTACGAGGTGGTTGACGCTTCTAGCTTACCCTGCCACTCCCGTTGAGTGATACGAGGTGGTTGACGCTTCTAGCTTACCCTGCCACTCCCATTGAGTGATACGAGGTGTTGACGCTTCTAGCTTACCCTGCCACTCCCGTTGAATGATACGTGGTGGTTGACGCTTCTAGCTTACCCTGCCACTCCCGTTGAGTGATACGAGGTGGTTGACGCTTCCAGCTTACCCTGCCACTCCCGTGAGTGATACGAGGTATTTGATGCTTCCTACAACTTACCCTGCCACTCCCGTTGAGTGATACGAGTGGTTGACGCTTCTAGCTTACCCTGCCACTCCCGTTGAGTGATACAGGTGGTTGACGCTTCTAGCTTACCCTGCCACTTCCCGTTGAGTGATATGAGGTGGTTGACGCTTCTACTTACCTGCCACTCCCGTTGAGTGATACGAGGTGGTTGACGCTTCTAGCTTACCCTGCCACTCCCGTTGAGTGATACGAGGTGGTTGACGCTTCTAGCTTACCCTGCCACTCCCGTTGAGTGATACGAGGTGGTTGACGCTTCTAGCTTACCCTGCCACTCCCGTTGAATGATACGAGGTGGTTGACGCTTCTAGCTTACCTTGCCACTCCCGTTGAATGATACGAGGTGGTTGACGCTTCTAGCTTACCCTGCCACTCCCGTTGAATGATGCGAGGTGGTTGACTCTTCTAGCTTACCCTGCCACTCCCGTTGAGTGATACGTGGTGGTTGACGCTTCTAGCTTACCCTGCCACTCCCGTTGAGTGATACGTGGTGGTTGAAGCTTCTAGCTTACCCTGCCACTCCCGTTGAGTGATACGTGGTAGTTGACGCTTCTAGCTTACCCTGCCACTCCCGTTGAGTGATACGTGGTGGTTGACGCTTCTAGCTTACCCTGCCACTCCCGTTGTGTGATACGTGGTGGTTGAAGCTCCTAGCTTACCATGCCACTCCCGTTGAGTGATACGTGGTGGTTGAAGCTTCTAGCTTACCCTGCCACTCCCGTTCAGTGATACGTGGTGGTTGAAGCTTCTGAGTTACCCTGCCACTCCCGTTGAGTGATACGTGGTGGTTGAAGCTCCTAGCTTACCCTGCCACTCCCGTTGAGTGATACGTAGTGGCTGACGCTTCTAGCTTACCCTGCCACTCCCGTTGAGTGATACGAGGTGGTTGACGCTTCTAGCTTACCCTGCCACTCCCGTTGAATGATACGAGGTGGTTGACTCTTCTAGCTTACCGCCACTCCCGTTGAGTGATATGTGTGGTGACGCTTCTAGCTACCCTGCCACTCCCGTTGAGTGATACTGTGGCTGACGCTTCTAGCTTACCCTGCCACTCCCGTTGAGTGATACGTGGTGGTTGAAGCTTCTAGCTTACCCTGCCACTCCCGTTGAGTGATACGTGGTGGTTGACGCTTCTAGCTTATCCTGCCACTCCCGTTGAGTGATACGAGGTGGTTGACGCTTCTAGCTTACCCTGCCACTCCCGTTGAGTGATACGAGGTGGTTGACGCTTCTAGCTTACCCTGCCACTCCCGTTGAGTGATACGAGGTGGTTGACGCTTCTAGCTTACCCTGCCACTCCCGTTGAATGATACGTGGTGGTTGACGCTTCTAGCTTACCCTGCCACTCCCGTTGAGTGATACGAGGTGTTTGACGCTTCTAACTTACCCTGCCACTCCCGTTGAGTGATACGAGGTGGTTGACGCTTCTAGCTTACCCTGCCACTCCCGTTGAGTGATACGAGGTGGTTGACGCTTCTAGCTTACCCTGCCACTCCCGTTGAGTGATATGAGGTGGTTGACGCTTCTAGCTTACCCTGCCACTCCCGTTGAGTGATACGAGGTGGTTGACGCTTCTAGCTTACCCTGCCACTCCCGTTGAGTGATACGAGGTGGTTGACGCTTCTAGCTTACCCTGCCACTCCGTTGAGTGATACGAGGTGGTTGACGCTTCTAGCTTACCCTGCCACTCTCCCGTTGAATGATACGAGTGGTTGACGCTTCTAGCTTACATTGCCACTCCCGTATGAATGATACGAGGTTGTTGTGACGCTCTAGCTTACCCTGCCACTCCGTTGAATGATGCGAGGTGGTTGACTCTTCTAGCTTACCCTGCCACTCCGTTGAGTGATAACGTGGTGGTTGACGCTTCTAGCTTACCCTGCCACTCCCGTTGAGTGATACGTGGTGGTTGAAGCTTCTAGCTTACCCTGCCACTCCCGTTGAGTGATACGTGGTAGTTGACGCTTCTAGCTTACCCTGCCACTCCCGTTGAGTGATACGTGGTGGTTGACGCTTCTAGCTTACCCTGCCACTCCCGTTGTGTGATACGTGGTGGTTGAAGCTCCTAGCTTACCATGCCACTCCCGTTGAGTGATACGTGGTGGTTGAAGCTTCTAGCTTACCCTGCCACTCCCGTTCAGTGATACGTGGTGGTTGAAGCTTCTGAGTTACCCTGCCACTCCCGTTGAGTGATACGTGGTGGTTGAAGCTCTAGCTTTACCCTGCCACTACCCGTTGAGTGATACGTAGTGGTTGACGCTTCTAGCTTACCCTGCCACTCCCGTTGAATGATACGAGGTGGTTGACTCTTCTAGCTTACCCTGCCACTCCCGTTGAGTGATACGTGGTGGTTGACGCTTCTAGCTTACCCTGCCACTCCCGTTGAGTGATACGTGGTGGCTGACGCTTCTAGCTTACCCTGCCACTCCCGTTGAGTGATACGTGGTGGTTGAAGCTCCTAGCTTACCCTGCCACTCCCGTTGAGTGATACGAGGTGGTTGACGCTTCTAGCTTACCCTGCCACTCCCGTTGAGTGATACGAGGTGGTTGACGCTTCTAGCTTACCCTGCCACTCCCGTTGAATGATACGAGGTGGTTGACTCTTCTAGCTTACCCTGCCACTCCCGTTGAGTGATACGTGGTGGCTGACGCTTCTAGCTTACCCTGCCACTCCCGTGAGTGATACGTGGTTGAAGCCTTCTATGCTTACCCTGCCACATCCCGTTGAGTGATACGTAGTGGCTGACACTTCCAGCTTACCCTGCCACTCCCGTTGAGTGATACGTGGTGGTTGAAGCTTCTAGCTTACCCTGCCACTCCCGTTGAGTGATACATGGTGGTTGACGCTTCTAGCTTACCCTGCCACTCCCGTTGAGTGATACGTGGTGGTTGACGCTTCTAGCTTACCCTGCCACTCCCGTTGAGTGATACGTGGTGGTTGAAGCTTCTAGCTTACCCTGCCACTCCCGTTGAGTGATACGTGGTGGTTGAAGCTCCTAGCTTACCATGCCACTCCCGTTGAGTGATACGTGGTGGTTGAAGCTTCTAGCTTACCCTGCCACTCCTGTTGAGTGATACGTGGTGGTTGAAGCTTCTGAGTTACCCTGCCACTCCCGTTGAGTGATACGTGGTGGTTGAAGCTCCTAGCTTACCCTGCCACTCCCGTTGAGTGATACGTAGTGGCTGACGCTTCCAGCTTACCCTGCCACTCCCTCTGCCTGACTAGTGATTAAATATAGACATCAGCTTTATTTATCATTCATATTCGCTGTGCGGAACGTCTTATTCGAAGCTCGAAGTATTTAGTTTGACAAGGTTCTTGCAAACCTACACAACACAACTCAAAACAATGATGTACAGATTAAGAACCTCTTACTTTCATCTGTAGGAAGGAAGAGGATACTTGGAATGTCAGAAGACACTGAAAGATTACTTCCAATGTAGGTCTAAGTCAAATGATGACTTAGTGGAGCATTTGGTCGTTTGACGGAGGTCTTCTGTTGGCTTACTGGTCCACACTATAGAATTAAACCATCGTATCACATCATGAAATGTGATATTTATGTTTTCCCACAAAACTTGAAAAAAACAAAACAAGGGCCCATTTCTCGTTTTTCGGACATTTGATCAAGGTCTCCCCTTGCTTAACGGTACACCTCGCAAACACTCAGTATCATTGTATGAAATAACGTTTTTTCTCACCAGTCATCTGAGAATGTTGACTCCTTTCCAAAGATGACCAAGCGCTGAGACAGCGCCACGGTGGTCTCCCTCGCCGTCTGCTGCCTCAGTAACTAATGTAAACAAGACGGACACATTACTGACATATCCTCCAGGTGCCGACGAGTGCTGACGTCCTCATGTTTATTACACAAGACTCTCTCTGCTCAGTATTATTGGTTGGCATTATAAAGCACATCTAAAGCAGCTTACTTTCAAAACAAACAATAACTGATAAGCGAATCGTTGAGAATAAGTAACTTTCTTGGTTCTATAATAGTATATTATCTTTCAAAGCTCATTTAACTTACGATATATTGTAATACAAGGAGATAAGGAGTGATAAGAGAAGTCTACCTAGATTCTCCTGTTTCGTCGAGTCTCTAAAGTTTCCTCTCTCTGTTTGCCTCTTTAACTTGTTTCTCGGTTTTTTCTCTGTATAGCCTCTCTCCTTTCATTCTGTCTCTGCATATATATATATATATATATATATATATATATATATATATATATATATAATATATATATATATATATTGTGTGTGGTGTGTGTGTGTGTGTGCGTGTGTGTGTGTATGTGTATGTGTGTGTATGTGTGTACTCACCTATTTGTGGTTGCAGGGGTCGATACATAGCTCCTGGCCCCGCCTCTTCGCTGATTGTTACTAGGTCCTCTCTCTCCCTGCCCCATGAGCATACCTCGCCTAAAAACTATGTATGGTTCCCGCCTCCACTACATCACTTTCTAGGCTATTCCACGGCCTGACTCCTCTGACTGAAGAAATACTTCAGTTTCACTAGCTAATGTACTTGGGCTCTGTGGCCTGTCATTTTCCCTTCTCGGCTTTCCCTGGGCTCTGCTGTGGTCTGTTAGGGCCTCCACATATAGCTTAGCTCTTTCATTTACTACAGTCTCCACTGATTGAGCTTCTACATGCAGTTTTGCTCCTTCTTTCCCTACAGTCCCCTTATTTGTGACTGAGGTAGCAGTCTCTCTTGTCAATCCCAAAATGTTCTTTAGTTCTTCAGGCTGTTTCAGATTTTTCAGTTCCTCTTCTAAACTCTGTATCCTAGCCTCTGCTGCTTTGACTTGCACCTCCCACTTCCTGCTTTCCATATCTATCCTCACTTCCATTCTCATGCTAAGATCTTCTAGTTACTTTTTCCCATCCATGTTCCCTTTTTATTAGCTCTGCTGCCCAATCTTCCTTTGCAGCTTCCTCCTCCTGTCCCTTGGTTTTTCTTGTTACTCTCTGGCAACCCATTTTTGTTTTATCCTGATTGCCTCAGAGTGGGAAACGTATGTAATTATGTGTGTTAGTTTAGTAGTGTGTATGTCAGAGTGTGGGGGGGGAGGTAGAGGAGGAACTGTGGCTATGTGAGAGAGGAGTGGGGAGGGGGATTTAGGGGGGAATATGGGGAGTGGGAAGGAGGGAGAAGCAAGTGGATGAGTGGGAGAGGGAGAGGGGGGAAGGAGGAGAGGTGGGGGAGGGGGAGGGTGAAAGAGGGAGGGGAGGGATCAAGGGGAAAGGGGTGAGGGTGTCGGTGGGGAGGGGAAATGTATGTGTGAGTCTGGATATGTTGTGGGGTGTGGTGTGGGTTGTGATGTGTGTGTGTGTGTGTGTGTGTGTGGTGTGTGTGTGTGTGTGTGTGAGTTTTGTGTGTGTGTGTGGTGTGTGTGTGTGTGTGTGTGTGTGTGTGTGTTGTGTGTGGTGTGTGTGTTGTTGGTGTGTAGTGGTGTGTGTGTGTAGTGTGTGTGTGTGTGTGTGTGTGTGTGGTGTGGGGTGTGTGTGTGTACTCACCTAATTGTACTCGCCTAATTGTGGTTGCAGGGTCGAGACTCAGCTCCTGGCCCGCCTCTTCACTGATCGCTACTGGGTCCTCTCTCTCTCTGCTTCCCGAGCTTTGTCATACCTCTTCCTTTAAAAATAGTATGGTTCCTGCCTCCACTACTTCACTTGCTAGGCTATTCCACTTGTTGACAACTCTATGACTGAAGAAATACTTCCTAACGTCCCTGTGACTCGTCTGAGTCTTCAGCTTCCAGTTGTGACCCCTTGTCCCTGTGTCCCCTCTCTGGAACATCCTATCTCTGTCCACCTTGTCTATTCCCCGCAGAATCTTGTATGTCGTTATCATGTCTCCCCTGACCCTTCTGTCCACCAGTGTCGTCAGTCCGATTTCCATTAACCTTTCCTCGTACGACATTCCCTTGAGCTCTGGGACTAGCCTTGTTACAAACCTTTGTACTTTCTCTAACTTCTTGACGTGCTTGACCAGGTGTGGGTTCCAGACTGGTGCTGCATACTCCAGTATGGGCCTAACATACACAGTGTACAGTGTCTTGAACGATTCCTTATTAAGGTATCGGAACGCTATTCTCAGGTTTGCCAGGCGCCCGTATGCTGCAGCGGTTATTTGGTTGATGTGTGCCTCCGGTGATGTGCTCGGTGTTATGGTCACCCCAAGGTCTTTCTCCCTGAGTGAGGTCTGTAGTCTTTGTCCACCTAGCCTATACTCTGTCTGCGGTCTTCTTTGCCCCTCCCCAATCTTCATGCTTTGCATTTGGCTGGATTGAATTCGAGAAGCCAGTTACTGGACCACATGTCCAGCCTGTCCAGGTCTCTTTGCAGTCCTGCCTCATCCTCGTCCGATTTAATTTCTTCTCATCAACTTCACATCATCTGCGAACAGGGACACTTCAGAGTCTATTCCTTCCATCATGTCGTTCGCATATATCAAAAATAGCACTGGTCCTAGAACTGACCCCTGTGGGACCCCGCTCGTAACAGGCGCCCACTGTGATACCTCTTCACATACCATGACTCGTTGCTGCCTCCCTGTCAGGTATTCCCTTATCCATTGCAGTGCCTCCCTTTTACATGCGCCTGACCCTCCAGCTTCTGCACTAATCTCTTTGGGGAACTGTGTCAAAGGCCTTCCCTGCAGTCTAGGAAAAGCAATCTACCCACCCCTCTCTCTCGTGTCTTACTTCTGTTACCTTGTATAAAACTCAAGGAGGTTTGTGATACAGGATTTGCCTTCCATGAACCCATGCTGGTTTTCATTTATAATCTTGCTCCTTTCCAGGTGTTCAAACCACTCTCCTCCTGATAATCTTCTCCATGTCTTTGCACAAAAATACATGTCAGAGACACAGGTCAGTAGTTTAGTGCCTCGTTTCTGTTTCCTTTCTTAAATCTGGGGACTACATTAGCCGTCTTCCATTTCTCAGGTAGTTGCCAAGTTTCAAGGGATGTGTTGAAGATTGTGGTTAGAGGCATGCACACATCTCTGCTCCTTCTCTAAGGACCCATGGGGAGATGTTGTCCGGTCCCATCGCCTTTGAGGGGGTCAAGGTCACTTAAGAGCTTCTTCACCTCCTCCTCAGTTTTTTCGTATGTCATCCAACACTTGTTAGTATTTCCCTTTTGATGTTCCCATCTGTGCTGTCTTCCCACAGCCTTCCTGTCTCTACTGTAAAAACTTCCTTAAATCTCCTGTTCAGCTCCTCACATACCTCCTGATCATTTCTTGTGAGTTCTCCACCTTCTGTCCTTAATCTGATCACCTGGTCTTTGACTGTTGTCTTCCTCCTGATGTGGCTATACAACAGTTTCGGGTCAGTCTTGATTCTCGATGCTATGTCATTTTCATACTGTCGCGGGCCTCCCTCCTTACCTGTGCATACTCATTCCTGGCTCTGCGACTGATCTTCCTTTTTTTCGTGTGTTCTCTGCCTTCTGTACTTTTTTCATTCTCTATTGCACTTTGTTTTTGCCTCCTTACACCGTCGGGTAAACCAGAGGCTCGTTCTGGTCTTCCCGTTGTTTACTGTTGCCCTGGGAATAAATTTTTCCACTGCCTCCTTGCATTTTGTTGTTACATATTCCATCATTTCATTTACTGGCTTTCCTGCCAGTTCTCTGTCCCACTGGACCTCCCGCAGGAAGTTCTTCAACCCTATGTAGTCCCCTCTTTTATAGTCAGGCTTTTCCCATTCAACTCCTGTTATTCTCTCCACTTGCAGTTTCTACTATGTATTCAAAGCACAGAACCACGTGGTCGCTAGCTCCTAGGGACTCTCATACTTGATGTCCTCAATGTCTGAGCTGCCCAGGGTGAACACAAGGTCCATCTTGCTGGTTCACCCTCCCTCTCTCACTCTGGTAGTGTCCTTAACAGTTGGTGCATGAGGTTTTCCAGCACCACGTCCAACATCCTGGCTCTCCATGTTTCGGGACCCCCATGTGGCTCCAGGTTTTCCCAGTCGATCTCCCTGTGGTTGAAATCCCCCATAACCAGCAACTTTGCTCTGTTGGAATGAGCTCTTCTTGCCACCTCAGCAAGTGTGTCCACCATTGCTCTGTTGCTCTCTTCATATTCCTCTCTTGGCCTCCTGCAGTTCTGTGGTGGATTATACATCACTGCAATGACCACTTTGTGTTCCCCAGACTGAAGTGTACCTGCTATGTAGTCTCTTTCTCCCATCTCATCTATGCCTTCCATTCTCTCGAATTTCCATCTGTTTTTTTACGAGCAGAGCAACCCCACCTTCCCCCCTGCCCCTTCTATCTTTCCTCATGATCTGGTATCCTGGTGGGAAGATTGCATCTGTTATTGTCTCCGTGAGTTTTGTTTCTGTAACTGCTATGATGTCTGGGGACTTCTCATTGATTCTTTCTTGCCATTCCTCATGTTTATTCGTTAATCCATCTGCATTTGTGTACCAAACCTTCAACTTCTGTTCTAATACTGTAACTGTGGTGCAGGGGGTGGAAAAAGAGGGATGGGTTTGTGTGATGGTTGGTTTGGATTGTTCAGTTGCCTTGGGGTGTTCGTGGCTGGAATCCTTCTGCAGGTGTTTCTGGGGGGTGTGCTTGTCCTTCCATTTGATCCTGGGTTATTCTGCTCTCCTTTTTCATTTCCTCCCATTTCTCCTTTCGTTTTAAAACTCTCTCTTTCATCCTCTTCCTTTCGTCCTGTGTTCTGTCTCGATCGAGGTACACACTCCAGAACTCCTGCTTGCCTCTCAGCCATGCTTTCTCCTGCAGGATCATGGTTCGGGTTG